TATTTTTGTCAGAGGTGAGAGGTAGGGGTTCAGATTCATCTTTCTGCAAGTGGAGATCCAGTTTTGCCAGCACCATTTGCTGAAGAGGTTTTCTTTTTCCCTCTGAATTGACAGGTACCCCTTGTCAAAAATCAGTTGGCTGTATGTTTGAGCATTCATTTCTGGGGACTCTATTCTCTTCCATTGGTCCACCTGTCTGTTTCTGTGCCAGTACCATGCTGTTTTGATTACCATGACTTTGTAGTATATATTTGGGTCAGGGAGTGAGATGCTGCCCACTCCACTCTTCTTTTGCAGAACTGCTTTGGCAATACGGGGTCTTTTATGATTCCAGACAAACTTTATGATTGTCTTTCCTAGATCTGTGAAGAATGTGTCTGGTACTTTGATTGGCATTGCATTAAATAGGTAGATTAATTTGGGTAAAATTGCCATTTTGATTATATTAATTCTTCCAATCCAGGAACATGGGATGTCCTTCCACTTTTTTTGTGTCATTTTCAATTTCTTTTTTATCTTCTCATACTTTTCCTTGTGGATGTCTTTAACTTCTTTGATTAGATTCATCCCTAAGTATCTTATACTTTTTGTGGCTATGGTAAATGGAACAGCTTTTTTCAGTTCTATCTCAGTCTGCCAGTTGTTCATATACAGAAATGCTATAGATTTCTGGATATTAATTTTGTATTCTGAAGCTTTACTGTATTCATGTATAACTTCCAGAAATTGTTTTTTATGGAAACCATTGCATCTTCTATATATACAATGATGTCTTCTGCAAATAGAGAGAGTTTCACTTCTACTTTTCCTATTTGAATGCCTTTTATTTTTTCCTCTTTTCTGATTTCAATGGCCAAGACTTCTAGTACTATATTGAAGAGGAGTGGAGAAAGTGGACATCCTTGTCTTGTACCCGTTTTTAATGGAAAAGCTTTCAGCTTTTCTCCATTGAGGATGATGTTCACTATGGGTTTTTCATAGATAGCTTTTATTCTGTTGAGAAATGACTCTTCTATGCCGATTTTGCCGAGAGTCTTGAACATGAAGGGATGTTGTATCTTATCAAATGCTTTTTCTGCATCAATCAATATGACCATATGGTTTATATCTTTCTTCCTATTAATATGGTGTATTACATTTATGATTTTGCATATGATGAACCAACCTTGCATTCCTGGGATAAAGCCTACCTGATAGGATGTATAATCTTTTTTATAAGTTGTTGTATACGATTTGCTAGTATCTTGTTGAGAATCTTCGTGTCTATATTAATCAGGGATATTGGTGTATAGTTTTCCTTCCTTGTCCTGTCCTTATCTGTTTTAAGGATAAGGGTGATAGAGGCTTCATAGAATGAATTAGGGAGAGATTCACCCTTTTGGATATTTAGAAATAACGAGCAGAATGGAGGTTAACTCTTCTTTGAAAGTTTTGTAGAATTCAGAGGTGAATCCATCAGGGACAGGACTTTTCTTTGTTGGGAGGTTATTTATAACCGATTTGATCTTCTGGCTTGTTATGGACCTATTCAGAGTTTCTATATCCCCCTGGCTCAATCTAGGTAGATTATACATGTCCAGGAATTTGTCCATCTCATCCAGATTATCTTGTTTCTTGGCATACAGATGTTCATAGTATCCTCTAATAATGTTTT